ATCAGAGCTTCTGCCCAGGCACTCAATTGAATAATCGAGTTTTAAAGCAGACAGTCATGAACACGAATGAAGGGGACTGGATTTTATTTACTGCTAAAGTGAGTGCCAGGGTAACTCGAAGAGAAAGTGAAGCACTATTTCTACTGAAGAGGCATTTCAGAGGAAAACCTGGAAATGCAATTGGGGATTGTTATTACATTAAGAGCTTGATTAGTTATTTGAGGGGGAGAGATATTTAGAAGTCCTTAGGCAATCAAAATCAGTGCCTAATGAGAATATCTGGACTTTAAAGGTTCTTTCAGTTTAACACTAGATGTCAGCCTGCACCTTTGGGTCCCTATCATTCTGTAGCAATGTGCACTTCTCTACCTGGTCCCTGCCAGGAATCTGTAACAGAAGGAGACCCATCACAAAAATCTCTTAAAGAACTGTGTAAGTATTGTTTTGTATCCTTCAGTTGTGTTTATTTCAGTTCATGAAAAGGCAATGGTTACAAACAACAACATGAACATTTGGAGGAAACAGGAGTGTTTTTGAAGCATGCTGTACTTATCACTTAGGAACCCCTCAAATATGCCAGTAGGGTTTTTAATCATTGATGTGTAGTCTCATTATCTGAGCTGGAAAGACTCTGCTTGGGCCACAGACCTGATGCTGTGTGCATACTCCTTGCCTCTTCCTTGCAGTGTCCAGGCTGGTGCCTCTGCCCATGCAACACTGGGTCCAGATTTCATGCACTGATGGCTGGGACTTGCAGCACACATGAAGCTAAATTTCTGTCTCATGCAAATCCAGAGCAGGGCTCTGGCCATGCTGGACTCACACTGACCTGCACAGCACGAGCTGACAGACTGGCCTACACTGTTTGGCCAACTGTGGATGGGCTATGCCTCTTTCAAACAGCAGATTCATGACCTACACCTGGTAGTTCAGTACTTTAAGAGAGAGCTGCCCTCTAAGTCCATAGTCCAGCCCTTACACATCCAAGGTATTTTCCTGTTTGGGTGATTTGCCAAAAATAGGGGGTTTATGTCTTTAGTAATCAAATACATGTGGCTTCCTCTAAGCAGGTTATCTTGCTAGTATTCTGGTCTAACTATGGGTTGTTCTCATTATCATATATTCTATTGTGTTGTTTTGCTGGCATAAAATTATGTCTACATTAACATTCACAAAAGCACATGGGTTTTATCATCCTGAGCCCTGCAGAGGATGTCTTTTAGGCAGTTTGCTACCTACTGAAGTTCATAGTTATGCTTTAGACACCTGGATAGATTTTCATATAATGCACAAGTACATTTAAGCATCAAGATACAGATTACAATTTCAGCAAACCAAGCAAGAAACGATGCTGTTCAAAAGCAAGCACTAAGAAGAGAGTCTGGTTTTGAGATTCATCCTCTCATCTTAACTTAGGTACTTTCTCCTGGTCTATAAAGACAGGGTTAGATTTCTGTGAACTCTGGAGTTAAGTGTTCATGGAATCCTTTCTCACACAACAGTGTAGCTTTCTTAATTTGCTAGCACAGGTGTTGTGGCTTTCTCCCAGAACATAAGATCCAAGTGCATGTCTTGCAAATCCTTTGACACATTAGGCTGCTAGATTTCTAGGTCTAGAAAGCTCTCAGGCTCTTGCATGGCATACTGAAACTCTAATTGAACCAGTACCTGGGAGCAAGTCAATCATTGTTCTTGGGGAGGGGAGACCTAGAATACTGACCTGGATCCAATTTCTCTTCTGTATTTACAAGGAAAAAAATCTTTGCACTCCTTCTTTGGCATTCACACCCAAACCACTATCCTGCAAAGCTGTGTTCAAGGGATGCTTTCCCTCTATGATCTGACAACGGTGAATAACTCATGCAACTGGGAACTGTTTCAAGCCAGAGGATTTGAGCACATTCATGGAGTAGCCCAGAGACTCAGTCATTCTCCAGAGGTGGGGAAGAGGGGAATCTGAGTCTCCTAGGCTATGGGGAAAAGCTCTGCCCACATATTTAGGGTTTCATAAGAGAAGAGGAAGGAGCACAGTCTGCACATGCACTGAACACGGGACAGCAAAAGCATATCTAGACATAGATACAAAGGAATATGGGGAAAAAAATTAAGTTTACAGCCCCTTCTAACTTAGTGTGGCTTGGTACAGGGTGTTCTGTGTCGGGCTGCAGAGCTGCCTCCCTCACTTAGGGTACACACGGAAACCAGTCCTGATTGCAGATCCCCATGGAGCACAGATACAAATGCTACAGACTTAAGCAGATTTAGGCATGCTCAGGAGCAGACTTCTAGGCACAAAAAATTTTACTAGAAAAAAACTTTAAGTACCTACAGACTTCAACTGGCAGCCAAGTCAGGATTTAAGAACTCAAAGGGGCAGCTGTACAGTACTTAGATGCTCAAGTTCTTCTGTGGATATGTGTGATTTCTTCAGAGTCTTTGCATCTGTGTAAGTATGTCCATCAGCTGCCAGCTCACTTCTGCTGTTGTCCAGGCATCTGTATCTTTCCAGTCAGCAAGCACCCAAAACTCTAGTAGAAATCTCTTCTGCCATAGAAAAACAACAGTTTCACCATGAAAGTAGCAGAACCAGCAGCTTCCAGACTGAAGTAGAATTTTACAACAGAGTTTACCAACATGTACAGTAAACCTAACAGAGTCTGCAAAATGTAATTGCCACTAACAGCAGTGCAATTTTCTATGGACAGAAACAGCAAGTTTTCTCCATATCAATACCTAGAGGTGACAAACAACCCTCTGCAGAAATTCTTTTTAACTGAGTTGGGCAGATGTTGGAGTTAGGCTGCAAGGGAAAGGGCTGGAAATAGAGAGGGGTTTTTAATATGGTATTTATATATTAATCCCATATGGAATACTGGGAATTAATGAACACGTGTTTTGACAACAAAACCAGAACTGTTGTATTTTTTCATCTTTTAAAAGAAATGTTTTGACCTCTCCTTTTAAAATTATTTTTCTGTATAATTTAAAAAATATTTTCAAAAGTAAATACATACACTTACCATAAAAAGTTTCACAGCTTAAAATTGCACTTTTTTTTTTTTTTTTTTTTCCCCATGAAAGTTCATTTCAGATCAACCTCAAGTCATTTTCCCAGATGTTTCTCTGGGAGCACAGGCATTGTCCCTGCCCTTCTTCAGGGCGTGAGAGCACTGAACTGCAGGCTCTGGGGCTGCTCACACCAGAGGAATTGAACTGGAGTTAACTGAAACACTGGCAAGTATCAGTGCAGACCCTTAACAAACACTTTAGCAGAACAAAAACCTTTGTGCTCAGGTTTAGCTGAACCCAGAAGTATCCCAGAGTGAGGGGCTTGGAGTGGCTACGATTTGCTTCTTTCCCCTCTTTTTATTTTGTATTTACAGTTGTGCTGATTTCCTGGGGTGAAACACAGTCTGGAGAGCAGCAAGAACAAAGCCTGCAGCCTCAGTGCCCTGGCAGAGAGATGCCTGCCTTGCTGCACATGGTCTGGGGCTGTGGGTTTCCTCCCTCAGCTTCCCGATGGAGAATATTTTCAAAAGGTAAATCCATACCCTTCCCATAAAAAGTTTCCCAGCTAAAATTGCACTTTTTTTTTTTTTTTTTTATCCCCATGAAAGTTCATTTCAGATCAACCTCAAGTCATTTTCCCAGATGTTTCTCTGGGAGCACAGGCATTGTCCCTGCCCTTCTTCAGGGCGTGAGAGCACTGAACTGCAGGCTCTGGGGCTGCTCACACCAGAGGAATTGAACTGGAGTTAACTGAAACACTGGCAAGTATCAGTGCAGACCCTTAACAAACACTTTAGCAGAACAAAAACCTTTGTGCTCAGGTTTAGCTGAACCCAGAAGTATCCCAGAGTGAGGGGCTTGGAGTGGCTACGATTTGCTTCTTTCCCCTCTTTTTATTTTGTATTTACAGTTGTGCTGATTTCCTGGGGTGAAACACAGTCTGGAGAGCAGCAAGAACAAAGCCTGCAGCCTCAGTGCCCTGGCAGAGAGATGCCTGCCTTGCTGCACATGGTCTGGGGCTGTGGGTTTCCTCCCTCAGCTTCCCGATGGAGAGACCTGGAAACATGATGTTGGGGGCAGGGGGATGGGAGGGATGTCACACCATCCCCTCCAAAGCCAAGCAAAGCCACAACTCTCCAACTCTCCATGAAGCTGCAAGTCCTGTCCTTGAGTTTCTCCTTGATTCTCTGGGTTGCTCTGTATCCTGGCAGCAGCAGAGGAGTTGGGGGAAATCTGCAAGAGCAGATCTTGCACAGACCCAAAGGGGAGCCTACAATCCTCCTTGTCCCCTCTCTTTCCTGGATTCCTAGGAGGGGGGAAAGGGGCCAAGCCCGAACAAGCAGAAGACTTGTACCCACTTGTCCTGGCTGTTCCCACAAGAGCTGGTATGAAATAGGATGTAGGCTGCCTGATCCCTGTACTCTTGTTGGAGCCCAGGGAGCAGTGATCACAGCTGGGCTGGCATCACTTCCAATGCCACACAGCAGGGAGAAAGCAGCCCAGCTCCTGTCACAAATACACACACACAGAGGTGGGAGTGCTGCTGGACCCCTGCTGCTTGTACATCTATGTTGGGGGGACACAGCTGAGGACTCCCAGCCTTGTTCCACTCCATTTATCCCCTATCCTCCCTGTAGTGCCCTGAACATCCTGCATCATCCCTGGATGGAATCTTATCACCCTCCTCAGTTCCTCTTCCCCAGAACATCTATAAGCACTAAAACACTCCTCCTAGAGACAACACAATCTCCAGTGCACCATCACTGCCTCCTCCTACTCCTGTTCTCCACTCTGGGGGGAGTCATTTTGAACATAACAATTCCCATTAGCAAGCTTCCAAGCACAAACACAACCCCAAAAGAGCATCTCCCACACAGAAGCCCTCCCTTTACCCATCCCTCCCCCCCTTGTCCCTACCAGGCATTCAAGATCCCACGGCCACAACTTGCACAGAGCCCGCAGCCCCACCCCCCCAGAGCCCCCTGCCCATCTCAGCAGCGCTGCTCCGTGGAGCCGGCAGGCAGCAGGTCCTGGCGGCTGCTGTACATCACCACCCCGGGGGGGTAATAGGCCACCTCTGGCTGGATGGTGGCAGCAGGGGGGGAGGCAGTGACGGGGTGGATGGGCACCAAGGCGTGCAGGGCCTGCTCCTCCTGCTCAGGCTTGGTGGTGTCAGTGAAAGGGCGCATGGTGGTGAGGGAAGGCGAGGTGATCCTCCAGAGGAGGCTCTTCAGCGCCTTGCGGAACTCCCTGCGCATCAGGCAGTAGAGGATGGGGTTGAGGCAGCTGTTGGAGTGTGCCAGGCACACGCTGATGGGGAAGAGGTAGACTTGGGAGAGGAAGTACTCGGTGCTGAAGTGCACCACGTTGAGTTTGATGAGGATGCCCCACGTTGTGAGCGCTTGGTTAGGTAGCCAGCACAAGAAGAAAGACAGCACCACAATGGTAACCGACTTGGTCACTTTGGAGCGGCGCTTGGTGCTGGGGCCGCTGCAGGTGCTGCCGACGTGTTTGTCGCTGATGTAGCGCACCAGGAGCAAGTAGCAGAGGCTGATGATGGCCAGCGGCACCACGAAGCCCAGCAGCACCTTCTGGATGTGGTACAGACCCAGCCAGAACTGGGCGTTGCTGCCTCGGCCCTCGGGGAACTTGACGAGGCAGAGCACGTCATCGAAAACGGTGGCGGTGGTGGAAAAAATGGCGTGGGGCAGGGAAGCCAGGATAGCAGGAAGAAGACACTGGCGTACATGTTCATGGCTGTCACGTAGGACACAATCTTACACATGGCCTTGCCGAAGAGCCAGTGGAAGTCCAGCGCGTTCTCCACCGCCCAGAACGGCAAGGTCAGCACAAACTGGAAGTCAGTCACTGCCAGGCTGGTCACGAAGAGGTTGATGGAGGACTTTCTCCAGCCTTGTTTGCTCTTCATCAGGTAGAGCACCAGCAGGTTGCCCACCAGCCCCAGGGCACACACCACGGAGTACACCAGCGAGATGACGATCCGCACCACGTCGGAGCTGTCCCCCTGCATCCCGTCGGCTCGCTCCAGGTTGATGTTCTTCAAGAGCTGCAGGAACGACATGTTGCTCCTGTTGCTCATCTGGGCTCCCTCCAGGAAACCCAGCGGCGCGTCCCAGGACCCCCAGTCCGCTCCTTCCTTCATGCCGGCGGCCGGGGGGCAAGCACCGCGCTGGCAGGACTCGCCCATCCCATGCTAGGGGGGAGAGCGACGGCTCCTGGGGGAGACTTTGCCCACACCTG